GGGCATGGGCACTGTCCCTAAGCTTCTTTTTGCTCAAGGTTAGCACTCTACCACTTGAGCCACAATGCCACTTCTGCCTTTTTCTCTTTATGTAGTACTGAGGAATTGAAATGAATGCTAGGCAAGCACTCTACCACTAAGCCACATTCCCAGCCCAATTCTGTTGATTGTTAATTACCTTCTCATGTCTAATGAGTTATCTTTCTTGGATACTTTTCTGTAGTTGTCCCCTGTTTTAACCAGTGAAGTTCACAGTGTTCGGGCAGGACGGCATCTTGCTACTAAATTGAATATTTTAGTACAGCAGCATTTCGACTTGGCTTCAACTACAATCACAAATATTCCCATGAAGGTAGGTGGTTCTGTTTCCTGTTACTTTGAAAGCTTTGCTTTGCTCTTAAAATATTTGTTTGACCTGTCATACTTATTTTAATTTAATCTTTACTTTTTCTCTTTACTTTTATATTTTTTGTTTTGCTAGCCCACATTCAGTGTCTGTGACCAGGTCAGTAAATACTGAAAATCCACAAGAAAGGATCACAGAACAAAATGCTATACTTTTATTTCAGCTACAAACATGTAAAATAAAGAACAGTTGTGTTCTTGTTATTTTCATTAAAATATAGCCTGTATTTTAAATTCTTTTTCTGTGATTCTTTTTCTGAGGCATTAGATTTTATGCATTTACTGTATTCTAGTGAATCTTTCTGAAACTTTTGTTTATAACTAGGGAAGAAGTCATAGCTTCCAATTGGTTTATTTTATAGTTGAAAAACAAGAGATGCAAGTACTATGATTTAACAGATTTTCTTAGGAATCTATTGATTCCTGTTTACTTGCATTATATTAAGTTGTCTATTGTCACAGTGCCATTGTAAGGTGTTAAGAGTTGTTACTGAGTTGAACTGAGTTTAACTGTATTGATTACACTCAAAATATAGAGTAGCCATTATACCTAAGCATTCACACTGATTTTGTTATACTACAGTTTCAGTTTAGGAGAGGTGGACAGGATGTTTCTGTGCAGTCCAATCTGGCCCTAAACTAATGATCTTCCCATCTCAGCTTTCTGAGGATAGTAATTATAGCTATGTGCCACAACACTTGGCCTCAGTTTGTTAGTTTTGGCATTAGTTATCAACATTCAGTTTTATGGGAAATATACTTCTTTCATTATTAGTTTCCTCCTAATTCTATAGGCTAGTTCCTTATTACAAATCTTAGGCTTGCCAGGCTCTGGTGGCGCACGCCTATAATCCTAGCTATACAGGAGGCTGAAATAGGATCGATGTTCAAAGCCAGCTCAGGCAGGAAAATCCATGACTCTTATCTCCAATTAACTCCCAGAAAAATGGGAGTGGAGCTGTGACTCAATGTGGTAGAGCTCTAGCCTTGTGCAAAAGAGCTCAGGGATGGTGCCCAGGCCATGAGTTCAAGCCCTACAACAATAACAACAGAAAGAAATCTTAGGCTCACAGTGTGAGTCTCCCTAATGTAGAAGCAATTGACAAATAACATAAATGTACTTTAGTAGAGAGTTTTATAAGAAAATTACTATGAGTGTACTGATGACTTGCTTATTGTAACTGACATTTGTTTGCTTCTGGTGTGTTATCTTTGGCCTTTGTCCATTTAGGTAAATAGTGGTCAAGTTCTTATTTATTATGTAAAAACAAGATAGAAGACTTATTTATTAGTTTGTATTTGCTATTTTAAATGACATGTTTATTAATTTACTGTAGATATTTAAAGATGCTTTTTCTCTTTTAACCATGATTTCACTTTCAGTTTATATAAATTATTTTCATTTTCTTATTTTGTGAAAAAATATGTTAATAGGTAGAAAAGAAACCCCAAAATTTCTATATTCAGTGTTACATAGTTACATAAGAAATCTGTTAGCTTATTCTGTTGTATCTTTCAGTAGACAAATTACTGAAATAATTACCATTATTTTAGCTCGCTGTGGTTGAGTGTATTTGACTTCAGTTTAAACCAAAAAGCAAGATGAATAGTTAATTTCTTCATTTTGTAATCAAAACCAAGTTTTTGTGAATGTTTTAAATTTTGCTTGAAGGAAGAACAACATGCTAACACATCTGCCAATTATGATGTGGAACTGCTTCATCACAAGGATGCACATGTAGATTTCCTGAAGAGTGGTGAGTCATGGGAAAGAGCTATTTTGAGTTTCTTTGTTTTATTTTCTCTTTAGTTTTAAAAATTATCTTTAAGTAGTTGTACAGAGGGGTTTTAGAGTTCAAGATGTCTGTTTATGAGTATAATGCATCTTGATCAATATCACCCCTTTTATCATTCTCCCCCATCTTATTTGGCCCTACCCAGTCTCTATTTTTGTAGTTCCATTTTCACATATGTATAGTGAATATTGTGATTGCATTTCCCCACCCTTCCTCCTCTATTTGTATAATCCCCACCCTCTTGACCTCAAACCCCTTTACACCACCAGTTCTAACTGCTTGGTGTTCATTTTGTTAAACTATAAGCTGGCAAACCTGTGTGTGTCTTTTTTTTTTTCCGGTTGATTGTGGGGCCTGAACTCTGGGCCTGGGCGCTGTCCCTCAGCTCTTTTGCTCAAGGCTAGTGCTCTACCACTTGAGCCACAGCACCACTTCTGGCTTTTTCTGCTTATGTGGTGCTAAGAAATTGAACCCAGGGCCTCATGCATGCATGGCAAGCGCTCTACCACTGAGCCACCTTCCTAGGCCCTCTGTGTGTGTTTTGAGTTCACATTTGACGCTTATAAATTAGCTTCTAATCTAGCTCAAGTGGTAGAGTGAGCTAGCCTTGAATTATAAATAGCCTTGAATTATAAATAGCCTTGAATTATAAATACTTCATCCAGTCCTAATATTCAAGGCAATTTTGAGATTTGAAGGTTATTTTCAAAAACCTTTAAGCCTTAATATTTGGCTGAATTCTTTACAATGATTTTTATGTAAATAGGAGCTGTCAGAGAATTAAATGATTGACTTTGGTCATGTGGGATGTGTTTGTTCTGAAGTGAGATAGTGATGGACCTTAGATATACTTGTGATATATCTCAGAAATCTTTTTTTTTTGGGGGGGGGTCTGGTCATGGGGCCTGAACTCTGGGCCTGAGCGCTGTCCCTCAGCTCTTCAGCTCAAGGCTAGCGCTCTACCACTTGAGCCATAGCGCCACTTCTGGC